CCGCCTAGAACCCTCTCCCGCCACGCCCACGTGCAAGGTTACGACGAGTAGTGGGGTTGCCCAAAGGTACGTCGCCGACTGACCGGCCCAACAGCGCCTCCTTGAAGCTCTGCCACGCATTTCCGGAAACGATTCGTTCCCGGAAACGGTATCGTTTCGGGGATCAAACAGGGCCGCGAATACATCATTGAAATGCTCGGGCAATTACTTCCGTAAAACGCGGCTTTTGTGCAATTAGTAAATACACCCTTTCTAATCAAGTTTCTTCTTCAAACAAAGAAAACAAATCTTCGTCCACATACTCGGAATATACTTCAAACGCGGGCTTTCTATTAAAATCAAGGAGTACTTAAGGACAACGTTGCGAACTTTTCTTCAAACATTACATCAATCATCACTAAGGAGGACCATTTTCGAAAACACGTGAGTTTTCACGCATCAATGCGCTACATCAACACTGATGTGAAACCCGAATGAGTTATCAAAGTTCATGAAAATTGAGTTGCTGTATAAATTACGCGTCTGGTGAAAAGTCGCGTCAAGTTGGCTACTTTTTTTACAACAGTTTTTATTCGCTCCTCATAAATTTTACTTGCAACTGCACCTAAGCTACTAGTTTACGGACGAGAAGGTATTTGTCTTCGCAGCTACCTCGCAACGTAGTTTCTCCTCGCGTGTGCAATCCGCGGTGATTCCACTGCTGTTACGCGAGGAAGAAGAAAAAACATTTTGAACACCCAAACCCAACACGCACGCGTGACGAACAAACAGTGCTAAATACTTAGAGCTTTCGTCCAAGGAGAAGCCGCGGCCATGATGCACAAGTGGGAGAGATAGAAAGCGCAAACACTCCAGTGCTTTGGGCAATCTCACTATTCGTTATGACTTTGGAACCCGGACCACGCCCGCCGTATACAGGTGGACCCGCCGTACAGAACTCTTAACTGGTCATACGAAACAAACGGCTCTGTCTCAGTAACATATCTTTATTGTTTCAAACGCAGCTGATCTTCTCACGTCGTATTGGTTGTCTTGAACGTGTGTGTCTTGCTTGTTTCCAACAGACTGTACAACTCACAACGATCGAAACTTTCGTTCCGAAAGTGAACTAAACGGGCGATGTGAAGAAGCTATTGCGAGAAGAGCTTTAACGCGGTTAAGAGGTTAACTAAGGTTTTAAGAATCAGGAGACAAGACGTCGGTCGAAGGTGAAACTTTTCAAAATTTCTTCTTAGCTCCTCGTTGCCAGAGTTTGAGCCATTTCTTCGGGGATCGTCGTTCTATTTGTGTGTGTTTACGTTGTTCGACTAACGCCTAACCTGAATGAACACGTCTCGTCCTCTTGATGAAAATTTATTTATTAAACAAAGAGTTTACTAGCCGAGTGGGACCTCACCGGCCTATCTGAGCTGCGCGGGTAACGAATAGCCGGGAGCGCAACCGGCGACTCAGCGGTAACCGACCGGGGTTTAGAACCCAGGACACGGACCGCATGCCGCCGATGTGTCGGGGTTCGACCCCAGCGCACCCTCGCTCTTCGCGCTGCCCATTTTAACATAATCTTTGTATCTCTTTTTTTGTACAGATGAGTGTTGTGTGAAATGCGTGTGAAATTTATGTATTAAGTAAAATCTTCTTTTTAATGTACAAAAAATAAAGTCACCTCAGGCAAAAAAAAAGAATTTTTATTTGCTTCCTTCTCCATGTCCTACATGCTTCACGTCCATGCTTACCACATCTACATTTCATTTTTCCTGTCACTCAACAAACCAAATCGAAACATGAACCAGCTTCGTGTCGCTAGGTGTCAGCTTTGCCTTTTCCTCTCCAGCGTCGATAACTAGAAGGTTCTAGGTTTTTTGCCCCCAATGGCAGAGTTTTGACACTAGCTACGAACTCGTAGGTAGAAGGATTTAATTCAGTCCCTGTGAGGAGGAGAAATCTAGAGGGCGGCTGCTCTGATTGGTAGTTTTCCGG